CGATCCCTCTCGCCCGTAAAACAAAGATGATCGCCTCGGGGAAGGGATGTCCCGCCGCCGCTGCGCACCACGCTGGCCCTGCATTCCTCACGGGCAGCGCCGCAGCCCGACCGGAGTTCGAATGAATGGGCTCGAATTTAATTTCTGTGTTTCAGTATCAGGCTCAGGGTAGGTGGGTGCCTCTTTCTAGATATCATTTACATCAACCAGCACGGTAATAGGGGTAGGCTCCGCGTTGAACTTGGTTACCGTTTGAAACCGTGGTTCATATTACATACTTCATAGGGTTGCTGTGGAACGCTTTTTAAAATGTTATTCTGAGGTTGGTTTTAAAAACCATGCGAATAAGATAAGCCGGTGTAAACTGTACAGAGAGGTAAGGTCCAGTTCTCTACTTCCCGTTCCGGTTCCCATGCGCACGTCCAGTGCACAGGTTTGCTCGTGTACTTCTAGGTATTCCAGGGAACACTTTTAAGGCTCCCAAGGAAAGAAAATGTTGGCTTTTGGGGATATACAGCTACAGAGCTTTGCTTTTTTATATTTTTAAGATTTGTTTAATCCTCACCCGAGGATATGTTTATTGATTTTAGACAGAAAGGAAGGGAAAGAGAGAGAGAGAGAAACATCAATGTGAGAAACATCGATTGGTTGCCGCCCGCAGGCACTCTGACTCGGACGAAACCGAGGTGTCTGACCTGGAATCCGAACCGTGACCTTTCCGTGTGCAGAGGATGCTCCAACCAACTGAGCCACAGTGGCCAGGGCCAGAGCTTTGCTTTTTATTGCTTTTTTCATTAGACAACAGCAATCCATTAAGTGATTACCCAACCATTAAGAGAATAGTCATTACGGTATCATATTTCTTCTAAGCACACCTTACTTCCTGACCGGATCTGGAGCTATAAACCGGACTTTATGGAGATCATACTTCTGAAATGACTCCTATTCACACTGTCTGTCATGAGCATTTGCTCAGGTTTGTGGGAAGGTGGAGAAACACTTCATTTAACTATCTGCTGCACCTTTGAATTGTTACTGAAACCAGAATTGAATCTTTTAAAAAGTTCTGGTAGTTTGAATATTTAATGGGAACATTCTGAGGCTGTTGGTTAATTGTTGACTCAAAATTTAGAGGCCAAAAGACATAAAAAGGAGTTACCTTTTTTGTCTTTTTATAGGTGAAGGGAGAAGATGAGGAAGAGAACCATCTGGAAGTACGAGAAACCAAAATTAAGGGTAAAAGGTAAGCTAATGAATAGGCAGAATATCTATAGCTGTGTTTGCCTCTTCTTGTTATGGTTTATCCTGTCAGCGTTAGAATCATAAGCTAGGAGGATTGCTTAGGAAGTGCCTGGTGTATTAAAAGCTGTTTCGATTAAGATAGTGTGTGGTAGCAAGCAACAGACTAACATATTTTAGGCCCATGTATGATATCTTTTTTGATAACTTGCTAAAATTGGATTCCCCTAACAGTGGCAGTTTATTTTACAACAGGAAAGCAGTTATTTTCGATCCCAGGTCTCTAATCCATGTGGCTTAGGGATCCCCATCCAATAGATGAGGACTTCAAGCTGTTTGCCTCAGCAGACATCCTCTCATCAGTGGCTAGCTCAGCCGTGGGCAAACTACGGCCTGCGGGCCGGATCTGGCCCGTTTGAAATGAATAAAACTAAAAAAAAAAAAAGACCATACCCTTTTATGTAATGATGGTTACTTTGAATTTATATTAGTTCACACAAACACTCCATCCATGCTTTTGTTCCGGCCCTCTGGTCCAGTTTAAGAACCCATTGTGGCCCTCGAGTCAAAAAGTTTGCCCACCCCTGGGCTAGCTACTACCCTGTTTCCCAGGGGCAGACAGCACCCTCACTTTCAAGACTTCAGGGCATGGAAAGTGATGTCTCTTTGCAGGAAGTAGACTGAGCTCTTTAAATGCTGGAGTTGGCCTTGTTCTCAGCTTTAACTTCAGCATAGCCTGGGGCCTGGCATTTATTAGTTATTTATATTAAAACACTTTATTAAGGAGCCTGCACCAAGATTTGTGCTCTTGACCAGAATCGAACCCAGGAATCTTCAGTCTGTGGGCTGACGCTCTAACCATTGAACACCTGGCTAGGAGGATACTTTAATTTTTATTATTTTTTAAAATATATTTTTATTGACTTCAGAGAAGAAGAGAGAGGGAGAGAGAGATAGCAACATCAATGATGAGAGAGAATAATTGATTGGCTGCCTCCTGCATGCCCCCTACTGGGGATTGAGCCCACAACCCGGGCATGTAACCTTGACCAGAATCAAACCTGGGACCTTTCAGTCCACAGGCCGACGCTGTATCTACTGAGAAAACTGGCTAGGGCAATTTTTATTGATTTTTAGAGAGAGAGGGAGAAAGAGAGAAACATTGATGTGAGAGACATAGATTGGGAGGTATGTGCTCCGACTGGAGAACCCTCAAAGCTGGGTATGTGTCCTGACCAGGAATTGAACCTGTGACCCTGCATTGCACAGGACGACACTTCAGCCAACTGAGACACACTGGCCAGAATGAGGATATGTTTGTTTATTTTTTAAATGTATTTTATTGATTTTTTACAGAGAGGAAGGGAGAGGGACAGAGTGTCAGAAACATCGGTGAGAGAGAAACATCAATCAGCTGCCTCCTACACACTCCCCGCTGGGAATGTGCCCACAACCAAGGTACATGCCCCTGACCGGAATCGAACCTGAGACCCTTCAGTCCGCAGGCCGAGGCTCTATCCCAGGGGTCCTCAAACTTTTTTTTTTTAATATATTTTATTGATTTTTTACAGAGAGGAAGGGAGA